GTCCTCTTGCAGGTTCTTAAACAAGGAGACATCATAGGAGATTCAGACTTGCTCAGCTAGTTGCCATCCTGATCACATGACTCCTCCAAGATCTAAGCCCTTACATCTGTCCTCTGGAAAAAGGGAGACAATATTACTTCAAAATATTCTTGTTACTATATATTAGTTTACATTTTCTAGAATTTTATATTAATGGAATCATCTAATACATACTCTGTCTAGTTTTACAACTCAGCATATTATTTTGAGTCATTCATGTTGTTACATGTATCAATAGTTCACTTCCTTTTATTGCTGAATATTATTCCATTGTATGAATACATTACAGTTTGTTTATCCACTTTCCAGCTGAGAAACATTTGGATTATTTATAATTTTGGCAATCATGAATAATGCTGCTTTGAACATGGGCATACGATCTTTGTATGGACATACGTTTTCATTTTTGCTCTTAAGCAAATTCCTAGGAGTAGAACTGCTGCATCATATGGTAGGTGTATGTTTAACTTTTTAAGAAACTGCCAAAATGTTGTCTAAAATGGACATATCATTTTACATTACGAACATTACAGTATGGTACCTTTAAGGTGCCAAATATCACTAGAGATAGAACAACTCTAGGCCCAAAAGAAGAACAACCCATGTCCCAAAGTCAGGTGACAGAGGCAGAAGGCATTTCATACAGAAAAAAAAAATTATAAAAAAACAAAAAAGTGGCATTGTACCCTGGTACCATCATTGTAGCTTAAGAGTAACTTATAAGTGTGCTGCCTTAAATCACGTCACTAAAAGATCTATGTAAAAACAACCAATATAATATAAACTCATGCTTTGGAACTATAACACACAAGGAAAAAAATCTTCAAAAGGCAGCAACAAACCTGATGCAAGCAATCACAACAGCAGCTCACCAGTATTCGTGAGCTGGAGTATTATCTCCCAGTCAGGCACTATGCTAAGCTTTACAAGATTTATATATGGCTCCTTCATGATCACTATCTCCATTTTCCAGGGAAGAAACCAGAGGAAGAGGAGTTAAGAATGTGGCCCTAAGGTCATAGGTCTTATAAGGCATGGAACCAGAACTGCCTGGCCTAGACAATGCTTTTCATGGCTATGCTAATTTACTGCTCCATCCTCAGGTTTTGCAGGCCTTCCATCCTGTTTGGAGGATGCCTTCTTGAGGCTGAATGATCCTACACCTTCAGCAACACTTATCTGTTTCTAATTTCATACTCATTAAGCAACTTTCTGATATTAAACTGGTTTTCCAAGCTTATTCTCTATTTGGAAGAGCTGACCAGTCAAGAAACATAAAGTGGATACACTTGGCAGTGATTATCTCTTAGAATAAATTACAAGACCAGGCATTTTGGTTTTGAACATTAATTTGACCCTAAATTTGGTTCACCTGACTAATCATGGAGGTACCAATATCCTTTTCGGAGAATCATCATAACAGAGGAAAAATCATTGAAGTCAGGCCATCAACCCTATACAAGCTCACACTGCTAAGCTCAATTCTATACCTAAGAGTGTAACAAAAACAAAACCAAAAACAAAAGTCCCTGTTGGTGTTAGAAAAAATCTGGCTGATAGAACTACTACATATATAGCTGGAAGCACTCTCAGTACCTCCTTCCTCCTCCAGCAGGAAAAATATAAATACATATTGCGAATTTCTACTGTTTTGGGTATAAATGTAAAGAGTTGAAAGGACAGAATTATTACAAAGTTGAGAAAAAATGTATTACCAGTTTAAATGGAAGGGACATATTGCTTCAGAACTAATTTTATTTTGGAAATACCAGACAAGTGGCAGGTCTTACTGATAGATCAGAGTTTCTTCCTCCAACCTTCCCTTCCATTCTCTATAATACTTGAGGACCTAATATCTTGGGGAAAAGTCAAAATTTAGATGTGTCTCTGAGTTTCTTCCCCAAAGGCTAGCCTGCTAATTCTTACTAAAGTCATCATCTTGAATAGGAAAAATTAGTAGATTCTTTGGCTTAATACAATCTTGCTAGTTCTTCCATACCTTACTTAACTTTAGAAAACAGGAAACCCATTTTCTGTATTCTAGATGACATCAGTGGCAGTGATTCTCAGAGGAAAGTATAACTGGAAGGAATGCTCTAAGAAAAACAAAACATGGGAAACTGGCCCATTCAAAGTTGGGTAGTAGTATTGAGGAGTGAGAATAGCTCACTATGGCACCTCTTTCATTCCCATCAAGTCAGGAGAGCTTAGAATATGGTGTCTTTAGAAGAGATTTTTGTTAAGGCCAAGAAAATAAATTAAGGATGAAAATGTTTTGAAGACATAATGAATGGCAGCATTATGTACAGAATTAGGAAGCATGGATTTTGTAAACCCAAAAAAGGGGAGAAAATAAAGCAAAAAAGGTAGCAAAAAAGGAACAATAAATGACATTTCTTTTTTTTCATTTAAGCATTGATTCAATTCTCTTTAATTTTCTTAGCCAGTCCCTTCTTGTCTGAAAATACAATTCAACCCAGTCCCTTTCAGTAACCATCAATAAAGTTTCAGTTTCAATTACGTTTATATGAAGGGTGATGGGAAGGAAGGACAGACAAGTCACAGGACAATAACGGTTGGGCCAACAAATGGTAGGTATGAAAGGAAAGACAATACATAGATGTGCTTGTGCATGTGTCACATCTATAAGTCACTGGACGAGTTAGGCTCAACCACACAAAAGGGAAGAAAAGCTTTATCACAGCAAGTATGTGAAAATCTGTAGTTCTCCTAATATTTTGTTTATTCTGATCATTTCAAATTTGAGTCAATTTTGAAAGAGAACTGACAGTAATGCAAATGTCAAATTCTGGTTGTTTTTATGGTTTACTTTTAGGAGCCTACAGGGCAGCACCCAGAGTAATTTGAAGACAGATTTACTCCCATATCTGCCATAATGTTGTAAATATGCATAACTCAAGTGACATTTGATATAGATATTGGCAAATGACCATTTTGGGTACTTTAAGAAAATATTACATGGGACTCTTGGCTGGGTCAGTAGGTAGAACATGTGACTCTTGATCTCAGGGTCATGAGTTCAAGCCCCATGTTGGGTGTAGGGCTTACTTAAAAACAATAATAAAAATAGAAAGTAAAAATAAGAAAAAAAAAAACAGACTCACAGAACCTTCATTCTGAAAACAATCATTAAAGATGACCTAACTCAGTCCCCTTCTCTTACAGATGAGGAAATTCAGAGGCTAAAAGGGGGATTTAAGCATCATACATAAACTGGAAAGAACATAAAATCTCTTATTTAAAAGCAGAGAATTAAAGAGAATCAAAACCTTTTAAAAAGGAAAGTGTCTTTTAGCTTCATTTTATGCACAGAACAATGGTAAATTATGTCTTCTCCCTCTTGCAGAAGAGGACTCACACCATAGCAAATCAGGCTTTTTCTAAAATACATACTCATTCCTTCAGGCAGATATAACTAACAATATTGTTCTTTCTATTTACATTCAACTCTAGATTTCATCACCTAACTGAAGTGTTTCCACAAGGTTTTACAAAATTGCTGAGGCTCGGCAAGTTAAGTTGTTTATTAATCTTCATCCCAATGTACCTGCTTCTAGGAAAAAAAAATAGAAATACTATACTCTAAAGTTAAAGTGACCTTCCTTTTAGAAATTAGAAAATAGAGGTGGATAGTCTAGAATTTTTACAGCTTCCAAGATCTCCAAAAGAAGAGATACTAGCTTTTTAGAACAAAATAAGCATGCAGTAGATGAGGACCTGCATTGTCAAGCACTGCCAGTGGTTCCCAGCAGTGGCCACTGGGAAGCACACTACACGTTATGTCAGAACAAAAAGAAATGCGTAATACATATTTTAGAGATAATGTAAAATCTGCCCTAAAAAACTCCAATGGTAGGAAGGAAAGGGGTAATATTTTACACAACCTTAAATTTACCGAGTATGTCTCCTGTGTGTATCCACAGTCAGCTTGTATATATGGGAGGATGACAGGGAATAATCTGACGTCACTCATTTAACAGATGGAAAAAAAACTAAGTCCTAAGAGATTCAATGGCTTTTGTGGTCCTTCTGACAACTGATAATTTCTATTTAGAAACTGTTTTGCAAAGCTATTTGGTCTAAAGACACTAGGAAGCAGAACTGATGCCAACCAGACATTTCTTCCAGTATTAACTAATACAATGACTTTCTGCTTAATTAAGTTTTGATGCTCCAGAACTCAACCCAACAATTATACTGACAAAACTATTTCTAACCTGCAAAGCTGTTGACCACCTATACCACACAAATTTCACTAATGGAAGACCCTTGATGTCCAGTTTGAAGCACCTGTTGGCAATCTACCAAAATGAGGCAAGTCTGAGTTATGTACAAATAAATTGGGTCTCTTCATTCATATTCTCCAACCTACTCTCTCTCTCTCCTTCTGCCTGCCTCCTTTCTTCCTATCCTCTTCCTTCCCCCACCCCAACAGTATGTAGCAGGAATCTGCAAACTTCTCTGTAAAGGGTCAGAGAGTAAATAGTTCAGGCTTTTTGGGCTCTGCCACCCTGGTACAAAAGTAGCTAGAGATAATCCATAAATGAACGTGTGTAGTTATGTTTCAATAAAACTATGAAATCAGGCAGTGGGCCAGATTTGGTCTTCAGGGCTGTAGTTTGTCAACCTTTAGTATAGAGTAGCAGTTCCCAACTTTGCCTGCATCAGAATCACCTATACAATACATAGATTTCTCAGCCCCATAAAGTTTGTGATGCAGCAGGTCTGAAGTGGGGCCTGATATTTTGCATTTTTAAAAAGTTCCCAAGTGATGCTGATACTACTGGTCTAGGGACCATGCTTCAAGAGGCACAGGTATAGAATAACTGTCTATCCTGCACTAAGTGGAAGGTTGAAATGTAATGAACAATTAAGAAAGTGGAAACTACATGCTGTAAACTTGACTGCTAATTTTATGAATATTTCACATGAAGACTTACTGTTAAGTGCCATAATATTATCTGTTCCTGGATGATGGAAATTTATTCCCATGCGTCCTAAAAAATAAAATAATTTTATTTTAAGCACAAAGAAAATAATACTTAATATAATCATTTCAAATACATTGTAAAAGATGAACATTACAAAAAGCTAAAACAGATTAATCTACAACATTGCTATAATCTATAACAAGGCCATAGCAGTTACAAGGTTTTAAATCAAGTCATAAAACATACAAATGAAAAAAAATTTAAAAACAAAGCCAAAATCTCAATAACAAATAAATAAAACAAAACAAAGCAAAAAAGAAGCTTCCATTATAATATATTGAAATGTTAAAGCATCTTGCATTCCGATTTAAACATGCCAACTGGATTAAGCATTTTATTTAAACAACCATTCATACTGTCCTTCAAATTCAAGCAGCAAAATAATGAATTCAAAGAAATATATAAGCTTGACGTTTAGAGGGAATATAAGATAAAAGCTTTATAGAGGCTCAAAAATGCAACATAATTATCAGAATGGCAACCAGAAGAAAGATAGTACAATTTATACAACAGGTATAGGAGGGGGAATAACAATTGGTCTAAAAATCTAGGGTTCTTACGCTTTCCCTACCACTAACTAGTTATATGACCTTGAGCATAATGCTTATCTCCAGGCCTTCATCCTTATAGTAATAGGGTTTCAAACGTCTGACCACACTAGCTGGCTGCCTGTTTTTATTACACCTCTGAGCAAAGAATCATTTTTACTTTTTTTTTTTAAGATTTTATTTATTTATTCATGAAACACACACACACAGAGAGAGAGAGAGAGAGAGAGAGAGAGAGAGAGAGAGGCAGAGACACAGGCAGAGGGAGAAGCAGGCTCCATGCCAGAAGCCTGATGCAGGACTCAATCCCGGGACTCCAGGATCACGCCCTGGGCCAAAGGCAGGCACCAAACTGCTGAGCCACCCAGGGATCCCCCATTTTTACATTGAGCTAGGGGACTAAAAAACTAAAAACTAAAAAACAAAGAATAATATGTGACAGAGATCATATGAACCACAGGCCTAAAATATTTCCTCTTTGGCCCTTTACAGACAAAAGTTTGCCAACCTCTCGTCTATAAAATGGTAAGTCTGAATTATGTTTTAATGAATACCCTCCAGGGCTAAGAGTGGAAGATGCAGAAAAAAAAAAAAAAAGGAAGATGCAGACAGTGGGTATGTCTTTCATGAATTATTTGGGAAAGGGAGGTGGATATATTAAAGGAATAATAAAATAGAGTCTCACATGGAAAAAATGTATTTAAAGTTTTCTTGACCACAATCTCTTCAACAAAATAATTATTGAAATAGGGCTTTTGTGTAAAGCTAATATACATACGACCTTGGTTCTGCGAAGGTCTTCATGCCCAATTAGGTCAAGGGTTATCATTATGAAATTCTCAGAAAAATGTTGATTTTGTCATTACTACTGTTTAAATAAATGTCAACAGTCTGGGGCGTGATACAGAGAATGCTGGAGATATGGAAGTGACTGACTTTCACAACAAATACAGCGTTATATATAATTGCAAAAGGTCAGTTATGATTTGGTATTAATCTCTGTTATGGGGTACTGGAGGCAAACACCATTAACAAGCTCTTCTGGCCCAAAAGAGAGGAATCACAGTGGACAAAACAGAGTATTTGCTTCAAATATAAAGGGGGAATCATGAGTTCCTGGCCAACTCAATTTTTTTTTGCCTAGATAAGGCCATCCAAATCTCTTAAAAACACTCAGGTCAGGGATCCCTGGGTGGCTCAGCGGTTTAGTGCCTGCTTTCGGCCCCGGGCATGATCCTGGAGTCCCAGGATCAAGTCCCACATTGGGCTCCCTGCATGGAGCCTGCTTCTCCTGCCTGTGTCTCTGCCTCTCTCTCTCTCTCTGTCTCTCATAAATAAATAAAATCTTAAAAAACAAAACAAAACAAAACACTCAGGTCATAGTAATTATTGAAAGGTCATTTTATATTAAGGGATAAGGAAGAAACCAAACTCTGTTAAGTGTAATGTTACTTGTACTGATGGGTGTGTGTGTGTGTGTGTGTGTGTGTGTGTATGAGATAGAATATGAATGAAAAAATCATCAACCACTGATGGATTCTGAAGTGATTATTCTAATTTTACCATGAAGCATCACAGGACTGTCAATAAATATTACTTGTAGTTTTCATTATTTTAAATTTATTAGGAGGAAGGTATTATATACACCTCTCTCTAATGTTATGGAAGCTATTTTGCTAGCATTTATATTACAGTAAAATTATTTTTTAGAATATATTTTAATGTTTTCCAGAGAAAAATAATTCTATTAGTAAAGATCCATTTTTTAAATAATTGTCTGTTTTATTTTTTATTGATTTCACAGATCTTTTCATATTTACTAGAAGCTAATTGAGGAGTTTCAAAAACTACTCATTATTTAAAAACACATTTAACAGTAGCCCTATATGTAATTACTTTGTGTCTTATGTCTTTCCAGCTCCTACGTCATTTTAGAGTCTAAAAATTATTATACCTCATATGCAACAAGTGCTATCTCCTACCACCACTTTGATCAGAACCTATTATAGAAATATTTGTGAGAATAAGACTTTGGCTCAGTAGGGAGAATTTACATTCTGGTTTTAGTTAGCTGTATCAATATTCTCTCTATTATTTTCAGATAATTAAGACCTTATTTGGATTCATTACCACCAAATACTAACATCCGTAAGAATCAGGTATGATTTACTCATTGTATTGAGATATTCAAACTTAACAGCAAATAGTCACTGGAAAGTATGCCTAAGAACCCAACAAGATTTCAAAAATCACTGCCCAGCAGAACCCTAGCAAATGGTATATAGAGATGGTCTATTTCAATCTCTAAGGAATATTTGTGTGGTTCATAAAAAGCTAGGGGTGTTCCCTAAAATAATAAAGAGTTATTAAGAAAACCAAGCAAACCTTGGTGCACCTGGGTGATTCAGTGGATTGAGCGTCCAACTTTTAATTTCCACTCTGGTCATGATCTCAGAGTCTTAAGATCAAGTCCTGTGGAGCCTGCTTGAGATTCTCTCTCTCCTCCTGCCCCACCCACCCCCTCTAAAACAAAACCAAAAACCAAGCAAGCCCAAATTTAGATGATCTCATTAAGCTTCTTCTGTTTCCTGTGTTAGTTACAATCATTTATGGTAAAGAATTATGTGGTTATAATTGCTAAATCAAGTAATAGTTTTTATGTTTCTGCTATTCCCACACTTAAAGGGGTACCCCTCTCTGCAGTCTTCCAGAAGCTGGGTTCTTTTGGAGCTCTTTCCAGGAGGTCTTAGGACTTTTCATCTTCAAAGATGGAACTGAAAGGAAGCTCAGTAGTTTTTAAATTATAGTCCCCTAACTCACACTGATGACTTCCAATTCAATCTTTCTAAAGATGCAGCAAAAAAAAGAAGGCTTAGGCAACGTTTTGTAGATGAAGGCATCAGGAATTGCTGAAAAGAAGAAAACTTTTTGTCTTTCTGGTATCCTCCCTGATTCTGTTGGCCTCTTTGACTTAAATGGCTCTCTAGATCAACGTTGTCCACAAAAGATTTTATAAGAAACTCTGTGCTGGGACACCTGGGTCGCTCAGTGGTTGAGCATCTGCCTTCGGTTCAGGGTGTGATCCAGGAGTCCTGGGACTGAGTCCCGGATCAGGCTCCTTGCATGGAGCCTGCTTCTCCCTCTGCCTGTGTGTGTCTCTGCCTCTCTCTTTCTGTGTCTCTCAAGAATAAATAAATAAAATCTTAAAAAAAAAAAAGAAACTCTGTGTCAGGCCAGACCCACCAGAACCAAATATTAAATATAATCTAATTGTTTCCTAACTAAATGTAAATTCTTTCTAATAAAAAGACTTATGGCTTTTTAAAGCTACTTTCTTTACATCTTCAAAAATTCATGTTTAGATTACAAAATGCAATATATTTCCATCAGACAAAAATTATGTAATACAAAAATGTTGGAATAATGCAAAAAATAAGGCCACCAATTAAAGACAAGCTCTGCTAACATTTTGATTTAGTCTTCCAGTTTAAGGAGGGTTTGTGTATAAAATATCCTTTTCTAAAAATAGAATTACTTTATATTTTTCTTAATATATTTTGCATCTTAAATTTCATAATTATGAGATTTTTGAAGGAGAAAATATATAACAGCAAAAGAAAAACTGATTCCAAATTCAGATGAGGCCATTTCTTTTTTATTCCTTTTGTCCAACAAATACTGCTGTTTAATCAGCTGTGAAAATAGAATCAAGTGTGTGACATCTGGTGATTTTTGTTAATGCAGTCTGGTGCTGCCAGCGTGACATTTTGTCACCTGTCCACGGTCTGCTATTTTTAAATTGTTCTTGTCAGCCAGCTATCTTTTAAGTATAGTGTAAAATATAAGGTTTCAAAAATTGAAAGGTATACTTGGTTTTAAATGATGCTGTAGAAATCTGAGACCGTCCCACTTTTCCCACTGCACAGAGCCTGATAAATGGGGGTGAGGGGATGGAGGAAGAGGTTGGAGAATAGGATTACATATGTTTATCCAGACTGTAAAAATCATAGTCTCATAAGCTCAAGTCACATTCATATTTAAGAGACTAGTTATAAAAAATGACATTGTGTTATTCAAAGTTTCAGAGTCTGTATTTTTATATGCCCAAAATAAAAATTAGAATTTTTATGAATTCATAATTAATTACAAAAGTCACCTCTTCAGCTCTGAAATATGTTATGAGATAGGGAACAATCGCTGTATCTTCCTCTATCCCTATTTGCTCTAAAAAGTCAAGTCCTTCAGAGACTTTCACCTAATAGAATGTAAGTGCTGTGTTCTAGAAAAGGTTAGAAGAAAAATGCATATTCTGCTGTGTTGTTTCTTCCATCAATTTTCTCTATAAAATTGTAGATACATTCCTTCAGAAAAAGTATCCACAAGATGAAATATTATGTAAGAATACAATAAAATGATGTTTTAAGGTCCTTTTAAGAAAAAATGATAAAATTTTGGCAT